TATAAGGTTTCAAAACAACTAACACAAATATTAGTATACAAAATTTAACAATGATAAATATAATTATTTAATAAATTTCAATAATTTATTTTATTTAAAATTAACTCTTACTGTTCTCAACATTCTCCATTTGATCTCTAAGCTATTTTATCCTTTAACTTAAATTAATTTTTATAAACTCTTGTGTTTTTTCACCTCTATACATTTTATAAAAACCTCATATTCAAAAAAAATTTCAAGAGACTCAAACTCTATCTCTTAAATTTATCTCAAATACATATATTCAATTCTAATATCCTTATATTTAATTTATTTATAAATAAATTTAAATTTCAGAGAAATTTTCTAGCATATTAGATCATAAATAAGTCACTATTCATTTGATGTAAGTGTCTCATAATATTAAAAACTACTCAGAAGTTCTCAAAATCAATTATCTGAGCAAAATCAACACATATAGACTCTTATTCTAATCTTTATAGCTTGTTTAACAGCTCAATAATCAATTAAAAATATCTAATAAATTTAAAATCTTTCTAGCTCTAAATTTTTATCCTTATTAGGTCCAAAAAATATTAGAAAAGAAAAATAAGAAGAGACCCAGATCACTTACCTAACTTTTAGAAATCTCAAAATAGAAGAACAAGACTTGAGACTCAACTATACTCTAGAGAAGCTGTTACAGTACCATTCTCACCCTCAATCTTGATCTGACTCCCAATTTATACTGGGCCGCACAAAGAAATAATACGCTCTTCTCATGCAGGCGGACGCAAGGATATTATAATAATGCCCTAATGTCTGGGCTGGGCCACCACTTTGATTTTTTCATATATTAATTTCAATTCATATATATAATATAAGAACTATTTATTTATGTATGCTAAAAATTTCACCCAAACTATGAAAATTTATAATTTGGGTTGGATTTACGTGTTTTACTTAAATAAATTTTTATATAATTAACTAATTATAATATGGTAAATTGAAATTTATTTTAAACATGTTTCTTTAATGTCATCTAATCTTATAAATTTTCTTTTTTTTTTTGTAAAAATTACATCTTTAACTCCCTTTTAATTCTTTACTCAAATAATTATATGTTAAATTCTAATTACCATAAAACCTCATCCCAATGTTACTTAAATCTTGAAAATAAAATTGGGAGGCTACATGTACGATACAAATGCTCCAATAAACAAAGTGAGAAACAAATAATAACTTCAGACAATCTAAACCAGAAATTAGAGTTGTGTAGGTTGAATATTTGGCTCAAGAGTGTTTAGAGACCCTTCTGCCATGTGTCTTCTGCCTTTTATATGTTCAAGCATGTTGCTCTTCATTTTAAATTTGAATTTCATTGCCTAGGTGAGGTTATAATTGTTCGCACCATCTAAAGGAACCAGGTGCTCCGTGATAGGAGAATGTGGCCTAGCAAATGCTTCGGGATTCATGGGAACATGGTTAGGATGGGGTAAAAAAAAAGGAATAAAAAAAAAACAACCTAAACCTGTTTCCATTTTCTTGCATTTAAAACAAGAAATGGAAGAAATTTTTAAAATAGATATTTTGAAAACAACTAACCAAACAATTTTTTTATTTTAAAAATTTAGAAGTGAAAATATATTTTCAAAAATTAACAAACAAACAGGTTATTAATTAGTGTCCCATTTTATAGTTTTTTTTTCTTTTGTTGTCATCTGATTTAGTTTCCTTATTTTCTAGTTATATTGTTTCAGTAAAATATTTGTATTTTGGGAAATATTAATTGTTTATGACTTTTAGGTAATTTGGCCAAAATAATTATGGAATGAATATAATGTAAGGGAGCGAATTTATGGAATATTCTTAGGAGTGAAAAAGTATTGAATATTTTCTGTCTCTCTTTACATTTTGTGTGAGATTTTCTAGCAAAGTGCTTTTAACTACTCTCACTTTTTCTCTTAAATAAAATTTAATGTATTTTTTTAAAGATGAGACGTAAAAAATAAAAGTATTTTTAATTTTTTTAAGTGTAATTAATGAGATTCTTTTTCAAAAATATTCTTAAATAAAGGTGACACCTTATTAAATAAGATTAGATATGAAAAAAATTTAATTTTAAAAATAATTAACCAACTAATTAAAGTGTAATTCAATTAAAAATATTTTATAATATTAAATTAAGGAAGTATCACTTATGCTTTGTCTGTGCCATGAAAATCATGACACCTTCTTGATTTCCAATAAATTTTCGAAATATATGTAACTCTCAAATGACCAATATATACTAATTAACTAAATTCTCTGTTTATTTTTTTCACATAAATACTGATTGATTTTTTTTTTTTAGATAGCAGTATTTTCATCACTATATATTCTCCTCAGAGCATATGGAAGCCAAGAGATATACCTTCTCGATTAGGTTTGCTTTATGCATAATGGTTAAGAATTGAATCTTTGACCATTTGTTTAATAAATAACAGTTTTTTTTTTGGCCTCACAATAAAAGTTTGTATCATTTATGATAATTTTAATTTATATTAATTAAATTATTATTAATAAGGATTTGTATAATTTTATTTTTTTCCCTTGAAAATGTTATATCCATTGGAACAAAGTATTTCCCGTATGTTATGTTTATTTTTTCAAATCAATAAAAAATAAAGAAAAGAAAAAATAAAAAATAAATGCAAACTCATCGTAATTTTACATGAAAGAGGAGAAATTGAAGGTTATTAAAATTACGAATAAAATATAATGACCTCTTTCCAAGTTTATTAATACTACAAAGGCATAACCTTTATTTCCAATTCAAAACCTACACTTGGGTCTATTTTGTAGCACAGTTAGAAACATTTCGTTTAAAATTTTGAATTATGCTAATTAAAATTATGTGAAATAATTAAAATTATTAATTTTCTCTCATATTCTAAATGTCTTCTTTCTCCCTCATTTTAAATAATTTTATGATTATATTTTACAAAATATTAAAATTAATAAAAATAAAGTATATTTATAATAAAATAAATAAAAATTATATTAATTAATTTATCTCTCATTATATTAAATTTTTTTAATATATTATTTTTTAGCCAAAAATTTTTCTGATTCATTAAATTTCTATACAAGTATGTTTCCAATATTTTTTTTATTTATATATTTGAAATTGTAAAAAGTACCACTTAAGTAGGTTTATATAACTAAAAATTAAAAATAATTAAGATACAAAAATTAATATAAGTTTATCATTTGAAAACTTGAATGATTCTCAAACAACATTTATGTTTAACAGGGATATTCTAGTCCAAAACATGTAATTTAATAGTTAATTAACAATTGGCTTGATAGGAAATTAGAAATAGAAAGAGATTTGTTTTATATAAATTTTGATTGCAAAGGAAGTTTGTATAGAATTTTAAAATAAAAAAGTTCAGGGCAAAAAAAAATAAGAAAGAAGTATATGTAATTAAATTCAAATGGCGAAAATATTAGTGCATTTTACTGATTAATTATTAATAAAAGAATAAGTACGTATGCTGCTCCCATTACAATCACATGCATGATACGTCTCTTTTTATTTTTTTATTTTTATTTTTGCATGACAGCTTCCGGTATTCCAATCTACAAACACGGGGCCAGACTAATCCAACCAAGACCGGGTTGGTTCATTTCTGGGGGAAGCCTCTACCACACCTCATTTGAAGAATTTATCACTCTGGTTGCATTCTCAGGACTCAAACTCAAGATCTCTAATTAAGTTAGGATAACCCGGTACCAATCAACCTAAGTGTTTGGTGGTTCTCTTTTTTTATTTGTTGAGGCCAACACATATGTCATTTATTTATCTTTTTAATTAAAAGAATGCACATTTCTATTGAATTTTATTATAATAACATAAATCTTTCTTCGATGATTGAAACAAAAATTAAATTACATGAAATTTCCTTAACTTTTATTGAAGTTACAGGGATATATACATTTAATTTTCAAAACCATCATAAACTTGCCTTGGGAATATAAAAGGATGGTTATATAATTTTTGCAAACTTGAAGGGCAGTCTACATAATTTTTTCTTGGATTAAATAGCAATATCACCTTGTTTAGGAACATTTGAAATCATAAACTTGTTAATAATAAGGGCTATATTACATCACTATAAAATGTTAAAAGAGAACATTTCACCAAAAACAAGTTTAGAATCATAGATGCTTATAAGCCTATAGTTTAGGAATAAGTTTACCATTTAATTATTATTTTTTTATCTTAAGATGAAATTTTTATAAGTTCTAAAAATTAAAAATTCCGTGTAATTTTTTTAAAAAAAATTAGTTGAAGCCCCTATATATATATATATATATATTTTGCTTTTAACAAAAAAAAAAGGAGCCGCTGTATGTATCCTAAAGTATATCTTTAATTTTTTAATATACAAAATTTTATTTTAATCCTTTAATTTTATAAAGTGTTTTTAATCCTTTTATTATATCACCATTAGTTTCATCACAAAAAATTATATACTAAACTTTTAAATATTTTCAAATGTTTATATGTTAAGTTTAATTATTTTAAAATAATAATGATTCACATTAAAAAAATAGTCATTTAAAACTAAGAGTGTAATAATTTAAAGAATGAAAAGATATTTTTTAAAATTAAACAAATTTAAATTTTTTTGTTATAAAATTAGAGGATAAAAGTATACTTTAACTCCCTTCTCAATGTATAGATGTTATATAAATTGGTTGCATAGTTTGTAAGGTTAAAAGTATGAATGAGGAAGACAAGGAACAATGACTTTATTTGGCGAAGAAGTTATACCTGATATACAACACACAGTAAGGGAAATTTTAACCCAATTACATAGACAAACCAAGGCAAACAAAAAAGGAATCATCTCTAGGTCAAGAAAACCCAATATTATATTAATTAATAATTAATAATCCCAGCACTCATATATTTGTATGAGTATATATACATACGGAAATATCGTAACGCACAAAGCAGCATATATAGAAAACACTGTTTCTGTTTGATAAAGAGAATAAAACCTCAAAGCAAAAAGACAAACACACACACACACGCACACATGGCTATGAAGACAGGAACATCACCTTCTTTGATTCGTCCTGTGTTTGATGACTTCGAGCCCAGCACTGAATTGTCTGAGAATCATGAAGCTCACTTTCTGCGGATCCTTCTTCCAGGTGCGTTATACACACACGTGCCTTTATGCATGTCCGTGTATCTATGTGCTATATTCGAGATACAGGTCTGATCTATGGAGCTACCTATTTAAATCCTTTATTTGGGTTCGAGCATTGAAAATTGACGTATTTTTATATCATGCCCAACTTTTATAAACGCCGAAAAACCGTGTTCAAACTATTTATTCAAGCTCATATTTATTTTAAGAAAAACATAATTTTGAGTCCCTACACTTCACTCATATTTTATTATAGGTTCTTATACTTTTTTTTTTATATTTTAAATTCTTACACTTTATTTTTAGTATTCTGAGTCTCTCCAATATCCCTACACTTTGTTCATTGAGGAATTTATAACATTGAAAAATAAAAGTTTATGGATCTAAAACACCAAAAAAAAGTGCAATCATCTATAGCAAGACGCGAGCAAAGTGTAGGGATCTAAAGTCATGTTTTCTCTTTATTTTTACATAAAAAATTATGCTATTTTATATATTTGAATTAATTTTAGACTTTAAAATATGTATTTTCATTATAAAATTATGTTTTTTTTTTAATTTTGTGTTACTTAGTTTGACTTTTATAACATTTTAATTTATACTTTGAAACATAAATATATAATATAATAATAAAAAATTTAATTAAAAATTTAAAAAAAAAAAAGCAGACTTTCGTGCCTAGCCCTATATACTAACAATGAGAGCTGGATTTGAAAAATTAATTGATTTTAAAGTAACAAGGCTTCTGATCACAAGCGCATATGAGCCATGCTCATATAGATCAAACCCACCCGTTTCTTTAATTTATGTGCGTGTAGAATTAGTTGGATTTTGATACTTTTTAAGAGGTTATATATACCAAAATATAAGGGGTCCTCATTTCTGCGCTTATTATAGCCATGACTCATGACCAAGAAATCATCCAAATAATAAATTTAAAATTTTTAATCTATAAATTTAATTAATTTTTTTAAAAAGTGATAATTAGAAGATAAAATTTGTTTTAGTTTATTAAAATAAAAAAATATTTAAAATATATACATAAAATTAAGCAAAATCTTGACTGTCCAATACCAATATGGACGGTTGACATTAATGACGATTACCCCCATATTGATGAACATGAATGAAGGATACAATTTTGTTTTGACACAAGTTAGAAGGATTAGGATTAATAATACTAACACACTTAATAACTAGAACTTGTAATCTTATATACTAATTAATATATTAATACATTTTGAAATGTATAGGACAAGGGGAAAAATTAATCAACAGTATTGTAACTGAGATTGCTGCTTCCTAATTGTTGAACCAAACCTTTTATTACTTTATAGTGTTGGTAGGTCAATATCATAATGTCTCATGCAAAGTTTATTATTTTTGTTGTCCGTTACCATGTGGTTATTCATATGTGTATATATCTATATATGTAGTAATTGATGGGGGGGTTTTTGGTAATTTCAGGCTTTACAAGGGATCAAATAAGGATTATATTTATGAACGTTACGAGAATGTTGAATGTTTCTGGAGAGAGAGAAATTGATAGTGGAAATTACAGATGGGTCCGTTTCAATCAATCTTATCCTATTCCACAAAACTGCAATGAGGGAAAGCTTCAGGCAAACTTCGCTCGGGGCGTTCTCACCATTACAATGCCAAAGAATATTCCTTCCCAACGCTCTCCTAAAACTGAAGCCCAACAAAAAGGCCCATTTCTTCCTTTAAAGAAACTAGAGCCTAAGCCCAATAAAAAAGCCCAAAATGATGTTCATCAGAAAGCCCAAGAGATGCCCGCAAGTACCAAAGTGGAAGAGTCAAAACCTGAAAGAGCTCAAGATAGAATTCCCCGAAAATATGCACCGACTGGGATTGTTGAAGAGCCAAAGCCTGAGAAAGCCCGAGAAAATATTCCTCGAAAATATGGATTGGCCCAAGTTGAAGAGCTGAAACCTGAGAAAGCCCGAGAACAAAGTCCTCAGAAACATACACCTAGTAGATTGGAAGACCTAAAGCTTGAGAAAGCTCATGAAATTCCTCAAGGATCTATGCCAAGTAAATTGGAAAAACAAAAGCCTTCTGAGGAGGAAATTCCTTTTAAATTCAGAATTTCTAGAGGGAAAGAAGATTTAACCCAGAAATTAGAAGATGATAAAAGAGGATTAAAAACTATTATGCCAGAGCCCATCCCTAAAACAGCTGAAGATGAACTTGAGCCCATACTGGTGGGCCCATCTGAAATGGAACTAAGGCCAATGTTAAAGGTTGCTCCAAGAGAGTCCGAAGATGAAAAGCCCATGAAGGATCGAGAGAAAATTGAGAAAGAAAGAGAAACAAAGGGAGAAGAAGGAAAATTGGTGGAAAAGAATCAGAAAATGTTCCAAGAAAAGGAAATTAGGACAAGAATGAAGACTCCAGAAACAAGAGGAAAAGAAAAGGAAAGTTTTCCTAGTAAAGAGAATATGGTCAGCACATTAGGGAAAGGAATCAGACACGTGTCAGCTTCGACTTCAAAGGTACTGACAAAAATTTCAGAAAGAAAATGGGAGCAAGAGGAGAAGCCAATGCTTGTAAATATGGGAGCTGCAGTGCTACTGATTGCAGCTTTGGGAGTGTATGTATCCTATAAGATGATTGGTTCTTCTGATAGCACCTAAATCTGCAGTGTTCAAATCTTTGAATGTTTGATCATTCTCACAATCATCAAAGTGTAATGATGTGTAATTTCAAATCAATAGTTGGTGTAAATACACGTTACAATGATACATGATTTCTTTTTATTTTATTTTATTTTATTTGTTTTTTTTTTGGTCAAGTAGTACATTACTTCTTTCACATAATAATATAAATTATAGTTAATTAATTAACAATATTAGTGGAAATCTTAAATTCTTAAAAATATTTACTTTTTTCATTTATACCTTATATAGAATCTTAATAATAATAATAATTAAAATTTTAATACATATTTTTTTTAAAAGAGTAATAAATAAGTAAAAGTGTAATTAAAAATATAAAAATTATTCAAAACTCTATATTGTGAACTAGATAAATATTTTTAAAAAAATAACTTATAATTTAGAAAAAGTATCTCATTATCAAGTGGTTTTTTTTTTTTTTTTGGTTTATGGTTTAAAAAGTAAGAACATGAAGGAGTGGCATATTTGGGCCCATGTAGCACAATTATACATGTTTATTGGTTTATATTGGGTTATTTGGTTTTTAAGTGTTTAAGGTGGTGCTCTCTTATTTAACACTAAAAAAATTAACTTATTACGAACGCATGAAACATCAACATACATGCATATCAAAAATATTTTTCACATATTTATTTAACATAATTGTATATTTAAAACTTAAACCCAAGACTTTGATAAATAAATTCAATTCTCACGATCAATTGAACTAAACTCATAAAAAATATATATATATACATGTTAGATCTTACATGTCACAACGTTTTTATGCACGAAATATGCCTATTCCATGAAGGCATCCGGGAAGCATGACCAACTGCGGCACGAAAGAACTTAAAAATTATTTGAGGAAAGTTCAAGTTAGGGAGGGTAATGAAGCTAAAATTACCAAAATGGCCTTTGTGGCTCCAAATACTTGCTAAGCTTGATAAGTCTTTTTTTTTTTTTATGAACACCAAATGATTAAAAAAATATATCTATTACATGGCACCAAAAGATGGAATAATTATAATCGAAAATAATTATATACCTTTAGCAGTGAACTTTCCAAATACCCTTGGCCACCAATGACCTTGAACTTTATGTATCATAGAAGTTATCCGTTATAAATGATTTAGGTAAATCGATATTTGATCACATAAGAATACTAAAGAAGACAAAAAGGAATAGTCCCACGTTTAAGAAAACGTCTCAAGTTCATCACGTATGTACTATTTAAAGTAATGTTGATATGGCTATAAATATGTAAAGTTCCATTCATACCAAAGTAATTTTCATTGTTTGATAAGAAAGAATCAGAGAAGAGAAATACAGTATGTTTAATTTTGGAAAAATCACAATGAAGGACCTCTAGAGGATTTTATTTACTGAGAAGGATCAAATGATTTTGAATTCACGCTACAGGATCAAGGAAGCAAAATATAATTAAATTTTAGTGTAAAAAGATAAAACTACCTTTCATTTTTTTAAAAAAAATCTCCTAACTATTATTGAACATTCAAGCTCCAGTTGGAGTGAGATCGCCCAACATAACTCCAGTGTCGATCACCAAACTAGAGAGGGAGATAGATTTTTTTTTTTTTTAAGGTGGCCAAGGTGGAGTTTGAACCTATATCTTCTTAGTCACGAAAAAAATAGTTAGCCATTAGACTAACAATTTCTTTCAATTATAATTATATATATATATAACTTTGTTTTTACTTTTCATGCTAATATTTACTAAAAGCTCAATGGTTATTTTTTATTTTTACAAACGAGTATTTGTTAAACTACTAACGAAACTTGTTAAAAAATTTAATATAAACTAATTTTTATAAATGTTTATTTCTTTTTATTATTAGGAATGACAAGTTCTCATGAACAATTTAACAAATAATTATTTGTAAAATGATAAATTCTGTTATTAGCTTTAAAAATTTTCTTGATACTTTCATAAAAAAATGTTAGTAAAATAACACATTCATATAAATTTTTTATATATAAGCTTTTGATAATAAAAATAAGTAAACATTTAAAAAAATCATTCCATAGTAATTTTTTTTAACAAGTTCATATTGATAATTTAACAAACAATTATTTGTGAAATGACAAGTCTCTTTACTAGCTTTGAAAATTTCTCTTGGTAATTTGAGAAGTCAATTTTAGCTAAATAACAAGTTCATATAAGTTTTTAACATGTAAAATTTTAATACAAGTAAACATTTATAAAAATAACTCTATATTAATTTTTTTTAACAAGTCCCCACTAATAATTTAACAAGTAACTATTGTAAAATGACAAGCCTTATTATTAGTTTTAAAAATTTTTTTTGATAATTATATAATACTTATCAGGAGCTTAATCATTATTTATCATTTTATAAATGGCTTAAATTACTAATAGAACTTGTTAAAAAATTGATATGAACTAGTTTTTATAAATGTTTACTTATTTTTATTATCACATATGACAAGTTTTTGTTAGTAATTTAACAAGTCTCCTTACTTGCAATGAAAATTTCTCTAAATAATTTGATAAGTAAATTTTAGTAAAATAATAAGTTCATATAAAATTTTGACATACCAATGTGAACTTGTTAAATGAACATGCAAATCTTTATATACATTATAAATATTTTTTTCATTTGTCATGCCGATATTTATCAAGAGCTTAATGGTTGCTTGTCATTTTATAAATGGCTACTTGTTAAATTACTAATGGGACTTGTTAAAAAATTTAATATGCACTGCTTTTTATATATATTTACTTGTTTTTATTATCAAAAGCTTACATATCAAAAGCTTTTGTGAACTTGTTATTTTGCAAAAATTTACTTGTCAAATTATCAAGAGAAATTTTCAACTCTAGTAACAAGGCCAGTCATTTTATAAGGGATTACTTGTTAAATTAGCAATGGAGATTTGTTAAAAAAATTTAATATAGAGTAATTTTTATAAATATTTATGTGTTTTTATTATCAAAAACTTATATGTCAAAAACTTATATGAACTTATTATTTACTAAAATTTTCTTGTTAAATTATTAAAAGAAATTTTAGTTAGTAACGGAACTTGTCATGACAAATGGCTACTTATTAAATCATGAATGGGGACTTATCATTTTTGATAATAAAGACAAGTAAATATTTATAAAAACTAATGCATATTACATTTTTCAACAAGTCTCATTAGTAGTTTAACTAGTAGTCATTTATAAAATGATAAGCAACTATTGAGCTCTTGGTAAATATTAGCATAAAAAGTAAAAACAAAGTTAAATATACGTATGTGTGTGTATATATAAAGATTTATATTATATAATTAAAAGAAATTGTTAGTCTAATGGTTAATAATCTTTTTGGTGGTCAAAAGGATGTGAATTCAAACTCCACCTTGACCACTTTACAAATAATAATAATAATAATAATAATAATAATAATAATCTATCTCTTTTGCCAGTTTAGCCATCATCATTGGAACCCTAATGCTAGTCTGAGGTGATTTGACCACCAGTGCCAGAACTTTGGTAGTTAGTGATAGTGAGAAATTTTTTTTTTAAATGAGAGTTAGTTTTATCCTTTCACATTAAAATTTAATTACATTTTGGTCCCTCAGTTTTGCAGCGTGAATTCAAAATCATTTGGTTCTTCTTTGTAAATGAAATCCTCCAGGGTCATTTACTGTGATTTTCCCTTTAATTTTAATGTAGAGAGGTCATTTTTTTGCCATGCATGTGCGAAGATTTCCAGCCTCCCACAGAAAACAAGGACACCCCAGTTTCCCACCACCTGCTCATTCATCGTCCAGGTATGTTTGACCAGCGAGGATTTTTTAAAATAAAAAAACAAAGTTGTAGGTTAACTACAGATCAATGTTAAAATATTGCACCGATCGTTGAATTGATTTACGGTTCAATGAGCATGAACCGTAATTTAATCGATTATAAATAAATTAATATATTTTAATAATATAAATTTAAAATAAAAAATAATTATATATAATAAGAAAAATGAATGTTTAAATTTCAAACGAAAATAATAAATAATAAGAAATGTAACATCTATCAATAGAATATTTTTATCTAAACTATTCTGTTTGTTAAAAATATAAAATAGTTTTAACTTAATTTCACTCTAATAAAATTATTAATTATTTTTTAAATTAATATTATTATTTTATATTTATCCTTATTAATAAGGCGTTTTGATTTTAAATAAATATAAAATAATTTATTCATTAAGGGCACTTTAAAAAAAATATTATTGCACCTTAAAATACATAAAATGTATTATATTTTTACATATTAAAATTTTTAAAAAATACTTACATTTTTAAATGGATGTAGTATATATTTTATATTTATTTATTTCATAATTTATAATAAAATATTCATATATACATAGTTGATACATATTTTTTTTGCATATTTTTTTTTTCATTTCTCAATGTTTATGAGGTATAAATATGCACAGAGGTCATTTAATTGGGAATCAGGTATGCTTGGCCAACTAAGGATTTTTTTCTTCCTAAAAAAAAAAAAGTGTATGAGTCCACTAAAGATCAATGTTAAAAAATTTAGACCAGCCATTGAATTGATTTACGATTCAATGGATAGACTATGATTTGTGAATGAACCATAGTCTAAACAATCATGAATGAGTTAATATATTTTAAATAATAAATTTAAAATAAAATAATTATATATTGCGATAAAAATGACTATTTAAATTTCAAACAAAAATAGTATATATATAATAAGAAAGGTAATATTTATCAATATATCATTGTTATCTAAACTATATATATTTATTTCATAATTTATAATAAAATATATTCAAATATACATTATTGATACTTTTTTTCATATTTGTTTATTTTTTTATTTCTTAATGCTTATTTGGTATAGATATGTGTAAATTATAGTTTAAAAATATGAAATAATATTTAAACAACATAAAGAATAATAAAACTGGTTTAAATGATTCACCCCATTGGTTCTATTGATTTTAACCCGTCTGAAGTTAATTTAATTAGTTCTCAAGTTTGTCAATATTTTAAAGTAATCAAGTTGAACTTGAAATTGGTTTCAAGTTGAAACAATAGTTCAAATCTTAAAACATGGTTAAGGGTCTTACATTATGTGTTTGGTTTGAAAGGAGGGGAAAGATGAGAGGAGTTTTAATAAATATTTGTTTGATTTAAAAGTGGAGAAGAGGGGAATAAAAATAAATAAACAACTTTATTTCTATCAAATTAATTTGATTTTTATTTTTTGCTTTGAAAAAACCTGTTACATTATAATTTATTTAGTTTTTATTTTAAGAATATGTACATATATTAATAAAATTGGAAGAATAAATATATTAATATTATATTTTATTAGTGAGTCTAATGAAAAATTTCAAAATTTTATACATTACAATATTATATATTAATTTTGTAAGGTGACAATTTATTTTATTATAAAAAAAAGAGAAAGAAAGATAATGCATAATCTTTTAACAATAAAGGTAATTTAAAATTATTAAAACAAATGTTTAAATTATTTTCTCTTTTCCCTCCCCTCAAAAAAACCCCAAATTAAAGGGTAGAGCTAGGCGTGACCCTCTAATTTTTAAACTAAATAAGGAGGTTCCCTTTCTTTCCTTTATTAGGTACTAATCAAACAAAGGAAGGGAAGCAAGGCCCCCTTCCCTCTTCTTTAAAAACTTCTAACTAAACACATCCTGAATGAAATAGAATGTAACAAAATAAAAAAAAAGAATAAAATGGACAAAGTAATTTTATAGATAAAACATGTCCTTTATATCTTGAATAAAAAAAATAGACATATCAAATATGACTGAGATTGTTTTTCTTTTTTATTTATTTTTCTTTTTTTGGAAAAATAATTATATAACTATAAGTATACAAAAAAAAAAAAGAAAATCCGAAAATACAGAGAAAATCAGAGAAGACCTTGAGAAGCTGATAAAAACCTAATGTCCCATAACACAGTAAAAGAATCCCCTAAGATGACTCTATAAGTTTCACTAACTGCACATATACAAATACTACACCAGTTATTTTCCAATCTTCTACCACTCGCAATTAATTCTACAAGTCCTCCTTCAGTAAAAATTTCTCTGTTCTCCAGAAAAAAAGATATCTAAGCATTAACCTAAGCATCATCATCCAATCACAGCTAACAAACAGCAACAAAAGAAAGGTTAAACAAGGGTCAGCTCTTTCCCCCTAGGGCAATCATCAAAGTTGCAAAACAGTGGCTTTACATATATATATATATATACACACACACATACATACATATACAGTCAGCATCACCCAGCTACATTCCCTAATCAGAAACCGCTCGTGCCTGACCCAGAAATTCATACCATGTTTTCTTCTTGGGAGGATTGGTCCAGCCTTTCACTCTACTCTTCTTGTTTTTGAGGCCAAAATCAGACCACTCACTTTTTTTCAGAATTAGGTCCTCTTCTTTTGAAACATTCTCCTCTCTTTCTGTTGTTAATCCATCTGGACTGGGCTCATCAAAACAGTGGATTCTAACACCTGTTCCAAAAACAATCCGGTCAGTGTCATTGGGCCCCACAACAGGTGGGCCCGCATCTTTTGAAAATCCCTTGTAGATTGCAGGTTGATTGTATTTGTAGTATCCTACTTCAACCCAGACTCCAAAGCACCTCTTCTTTCTCTTTGGACTCTCCTCTTCAGAATCCACCCTTGACATGCCTGCAAAAGTTCTCGTAGGGTAGGCTTATTTATAAATTCAGTAGGATTTTTTGTGCTGGGAGAATGAAAAAGAAATAGGCAAATGATAAAAAAGTACCACAAAATGAAGCAATTACTTTAAAGTTCTTAGGGATATATTCGATAATGTTCTTATGAAATCACAATTTAATCCTCAACAAAATAATAAAAAGTGCAATTAAAATCTAAATTGAAGTTGTTAATATAAGAACTTTGGCTTAGTGATAAGGGTATAAGAACTTTGGCTTAATGATAAGGGAATTATAATATCAACTTCAGCTTAATGATTATCAACTTCAATTTAGATATTAACAACACGGCTAATCATAAATTCAGTTTAGTCATGCAATAATGATTACGCTTCTTATATCAACAATTTTACCCTCATTATTAATAATTTTAGTTTAGGTTTTAACAACTATATTTTCTATTATTTTATTTAGTAGAGGATTGGTAATGTAATTTTGCAAAAATATTATGACAAATAAGTCCTCAGGAACTTCAAAGTAGTTATCATTTCATGGTACTATTTTGTCATTTGTCAATTTTGAAGGGATTTATTTGTCATTTTTCCTTTTGTGTCTTTGATTAAATTCCTTGATCTTCATAATAGTATTAAACTACTGAGGAGGGCAAAACCTTTGAGTCAAACGAACAATCATATTATTTTCCATGACTGCTAAAGCTCTTGCTGGCCTTTTAGCAGGTTTTGTAAGAGAGAATATAAATGCTAAATTTGAGTCTTCAAATAGGAGAGTGAAGGTATTTGGTGAAAGACCCTTGGGAGTAACAGATGGAGACGTTTCAGTGTGTTTTATTCAGTCCCAGAAAGTTGTGAAACTACTAAACTTAAGCGAAAGTTTGAAGCAGGAATTGTGACCATCTCTATGCCAAAGAAGGTAATGCAGCCTAGAGATCAACAACTTGTAAGACCTCCAGCAAATCATGACTCAAAAGCTTCAATTAAAAAGAATGAAGAAGGAGAAGCTGGTTCTAGTGAAGTAAATGCAAAGGAGGGCAAGGAGGTCATTTCACAAGGACTCAAATCAACCATTGATGATGCGAAGAAAGTGGAGGCTTCAGTTCCACCAGAAGCCACCAAGGTGGTTCTATTATGACTCAAAAGGATCAAAATCAGTCTGAAATGAAAATGGATGAGGAAGTTCAAACGGAAAATGTTGTAGGGTGAGTTTTAGAAAATGGAGTAAAGCAAAGGGTTGAAGAGAAAGAAAACAAGGATCCCATTGACAACAAGAATGTACAAGAGGGCATTCCTGCTAAACCTACAACAACAAAAGTTGAAGAAGGGACAGAGATAAAAGCTCAAAAGGGTCAAGAGAAAGCAAATGAAAAGGTTGCAGGGTCAGTTTCAGGAAATGGAGAAAAGCAAAGGCTTGAAAGGAAAAAAATTGAGGATCATATAGAGAAGACCTCTAAGGATCAACATGCAACAAGAGTTGAAGAAAGGAAAGAGATAAAAGCTCAAAAGGGGCAAGAGGAAGCAAATGAAAATGTTGCAGGGTCATTCTAGAAAATGATAATAACAGAGGGGCTGAAAGGGAAAAAAAAATGAAGAACTTCTGGGTAAGGCTTCTGATAAATCAGGAAAAGGAAACCGACTCGAGACTTCCCAGGACCACAAATTAAAAAAAGAGAACCTTGCGTGGCCAGTTTCAGAAAATGGCAAGAATTTCATGGCAGAAATGAAAGATACTGAGGAAGTTATTTGGAAGGCTTCTCAGGTAGAAAACCCAGGTAATGATTCATTTGCAGAAAAGGAAAGAAAAGAATGTACAAAAAAGGAAAAAGAAAAGATTAATGAAGGAGGAAATGGATTGAAGGAATAATTAATTACGGGAAAGGGAAAGGAATGAAAGAGGAGGCCAATTCAAGTTCTCAAGGTTCGAAGAAGAAGCAAGAGAAGTTTAATGAAGAAGATAAACAAAAGATGATTGTTTATGTGGCAACTGCAGCACTTGCAGTTTCTGTGACAATAGGTCTGTTCAATATCCTTCGATCTTTTGCAAATTCATAGACCAGGCATGTCTGCTTCCTTTCACACATCATCACTTGTATACGTTCCCTTTCAATACTTATATTGCCAAACAAATACTGATAAATTATTTTAGGACTAATGTATAACAGAACAAGGTAATACACAGATATTCACTTTGGCCTACCTTTTGTTTTTTTATTCATTTATTATAAGTCAAGGAGAAAATTACATCTAACCAATAAAATTCGTGAATTTTAGTTTAAAAGATTTTGCAAAGAAGAAAAAGAAAAAAAGTAATCTTGGCAGCATTACTTGAGTTTTCCACTTCAGCAATTGCCAAATTAATCATCCAATTCAAGAATATTACATTTACTAAATGAATATGAATAGTGTTTTCCCCCCTCTTTTTCCCATTATCAGGATGCTAAAGTCCAAGACGATTTAGGGCTTCTAAGTGTAAAAATAAAGAGAGCAAGAAAATAAAAACAAGAATCTGGAAAGATTTTTCTTAACATTTCACTTAATCAAATATAGAAAAAAAATCTGGTCACATCAGAATTCCAGAGAAAGAAAAAAAAAAATCTGAAATTCCTAAGTAGTGGTCTCTCTTCCGTGAATGTGAAAGCAAAGAGAATGTGAGTAATCTCCAAGTCCAAGGGCGCAGAGAAAAAGTGTTACGCTTCATTCACCTATTTCCCTCATACTCTGTTGATGCAATAACAACGAATAAAGCTTTTTACAATGGCAGTATTACAACTGTTCTATGTAATTCACAGAAGGAAAAAGAATGACATTCTAAGAACACCACATTTAATATTAATACACTGAAAACATTTAACGGCACCAAACTCGCATTCTTGAAGAAAATCTCTCCCAAATACTAACCTGAATTGCAAGCTTCAGAGTTACGTCGACAACGATCGACGCAGCTTCCTCTTCGCCAATCTTCTTTCTTTGTTGAGACAACGGTAGCACAGCCTACCATAGATTGTTACTCGAACTAAGAATCAAGATTGCGATAAGTAAAACCTGTTAAGGAAAGAGCGTTGGGAGCTCGTTATGGAAGAAGAATCACCACGTTGTCCCAAAAAAAAAAAAAAACACAAAAAACAAAGGAAATAAAGAAAAGGTATTTTCTAGAGAAAATGACAACTAAGTACCCAAACGACCATTTTTTACTCAACAAAATCTCAACAAACTCCAAAAGCACAAAGTAGGAAAATTTTCAGTTTAGACACTTTAAATAAACATAATAAAAAAGAGCCCCTTAAAGTTGAAATTTCAGACTTTAAAATGCAAATTCCTCGTGAAAAAAATGCCTCATTATCCTTAGTGAAAAATTAACTACACCCACAAACAACTTTTGTAAAAAAATTAACCATTTTAGTTTGAAAAATGAACAACTTCAATATAAAAAATTTGTGATTTTATTCATCATGACAACAATAGTTTTAATAAAAACAAATAAAACTATGGGCATAAACAATTCCTAAAAAAAATTAACCACTTCAATGTGGAAAATAAACAATTTCAGTGTGATGAATTTGCAGCTATTTTTACCATGATAATAATATTAAAAATAAAACTAAGTGAGGTTATGTGCAGAAACGATTCCTATAGGAAAAATAATTACTTTAATATGGGCAATGAAAAATTATAGTATGGAAAATTTTCAACTCTTTTTATCATAATAACAGTACTAGGAATAAAATCAATTGAAATTATGTGTACAAACAACTCTTATAAAAAAAATTATTTTAATATAGACAAAACAACTACAGTTGGGTAATTTGCAATTTTTTTTAACATGATAATAACATTAAGAATTAAATCAAGTGAAGCCATGTACAAACAACTCCAATAAAAAAATTAATTTTAGTATGAGAAATGAACAATTTCACTATGGAGAATTTGCAAGTGTCTTTTAACAAGCTTACCCACTAGGGATAATGAGGTAATTTTTGTTTGGATTTTGATTTCATTTTGCTACCCTTGATCTATAGTAAAATTTCAGACTTTAAGAGGTTTTATTTTTCATTATATATGGTCAAGGGGTCTAGAATGAAATTTTCCCTACAAAGTAAATCCATAACTTTTTGTATTCAAAATATTTTATTATAATTATTATGAGTATTTGAGTATTTTTTTAATGTATCATAATATCAGTGAATGATCTATGGGGCTTACTTTGTATTTTGAAATTTGTTTGGATTTTGTGAGGATAACATGGTAATTTGAGACTTCTTGTCATTCTCCATATTTTCTATAATTTGGAAAAGTATGCTTATTGGGATATCTTTAATGCTTTGTTGGACTTGAGAGTGGAGCCTATAATTCAGGCCAGGTAAGCTAATTTAAGTGAAGTTTAATTTGGATTAGGGTATATTTGGATTGGATTTAAAGTACTTCAATATATAAAAGATCTTATATAGTCAAGTTTGGCTCTAACATTCTCGGCCTTCGAGTTTATTTGGGTCAGCTTAAATGCTCAACTTTTTTAAAATTATTTTTTATTTTTTTAACCAATTTCAATTTTTAACTTAAAAATTAATTTTTTCAAGCAATATAAATATAAGGGTTAATGAGCAAATATGACCTTGAACTATTGCTTAAAAATTGCCCGGACCCACAACTCTTAAAATATGTGAAATAAAGCTAAAACTTTTAAATTTATAGTAAAATAAACTATGACCGTTAATTTTTTAATATTGTTACTGTTCACACAAGTGTCCTTCAGAGTTTACCTTCCTACGAATTTAACTCTGATTGTTATAGTACCAGCGTAAATAGTAATATTGTTAAAAAAGTTAACGATTAGAGGCTACTTCTTGTACCTAGCCCCATTGTAGTATTCATTTTTTTCTATTCATTTGTTGAACCACCACTCATAAGAGTGCCATTTGCAGGCTAGTCACATCTCAACTTGACGGGCTAGCCTAAACTGGGTCGAAAAAGTTAGAGTTAGGCTTGATCATATGAGTTTTTGATAAGGTATGATACTTTAAACCTAACTCAAATAAGTTCAGATCGCCCAAATTACCGACTCTAGTGAGTATGACCTTGTTAATTTAATTAAGTTAATTCATTTAAAAAAAGGTGCAAGTATTTTGGCCAAAGTCAAACTTAAATTTTGACGAACACATTCAAGCTATTTAAATAAGCTTGAAGTATAAAGACTTTTCCAAATCAATGCTTTTAAAATTTTTTGATCTTATTCAAATTAACTTGAATCACGCATCTACTTGGAAGGTTAATTTAAGAATAAATTAGTATATTTTAACTAATATATATTTAAAAATAAAAATATATTTTATTTATAATAAAAAGAATAATAGTTGGTAGAAAAACAATATTGATTAATATCCACCGTTTCCATTTAAAATATATATACTTATTTTATAATTTATAATTTTAAAATATGCATGAGAATCATTTGTTCATTTTTTCTCCTTTTGCCAATGCGAGTATTAGTATCCATTAATTATAGCTTGGAAATATAAATTAAAATTTAAAACAATGTGGCTGAATCAGCCTATTAGACCACAGGTCAATTTAAGGCTAATTTAACTACTTGACATTAGAGTCAAGAATAAAGGTCGGGCCTAGAGGGTCAGGTTTGAAGGTCTTGTTTAAATAAAGGTTTGAACTTTAAAAATAATTTTTTTAAAAGTAATTAGATTTGAGAGCTTGGCCTTGATAAATCCTGTAAAAAGGACTTGAGCCCGAGCGACCCTTCAAGCCCTATTATATTATTATTATTATTTTTTTTGGTGGAACACATGTTTGAAACCAATAATCTGCTCACCTGATCTTAAATGCATTATATTATTATTAATTTTAATTTATTCTAAAATTAATTTAATATAATTTAATAAATTTCAGTATATAGTATACAATTTTTTATATTTTTTTATTTTTCTATAATTATTATATTTGTGTATTTATAAAAAATAAATTACTGTTTAACCAAGATTTGAATTTTATTACTAGACTTCTAAATGTGCGTTGTTTAATTTCTAAAAAATTATGAGAATTTTAATTTTTTTAATTTTAAAATATTTTAATTAATTTATAGTATTTTATTTTATTTTATTTCTTAAAAAAAAGACTTGCGGGCCAGGCCTTGAGTCATTCACATAAGGGCCGAGCTTAAAAAATGGGGCTAAAAATGAGGAATTATGCTTTAGGGCTCAGGCCCTTAAGGCCCTTATGGGCTAAGGGCCAAGCTCTTAAAGGTCAGGCTCGCTCGTATTCCTAACTCTATTTGGTATCAATTTTTTAGTATTAACCAGTCTGACCTGATTCTTAAGACAAAATAGCCAATTGAGTAATATTAATATAATTTTTTTAAAAAAATGATAATACATTGAAGTAGAAAGTAAAGTGAGTGTTTGTCAAATTTTTGAAACTTTTTAAAATCTTTTCAGTAAAACCTATATATAAGCATATTTTTGAATAAATTCAAGAACTAAACTTAATTTGTTTACACGAAGGCTTGAGCATTAATTTTCAGAAACTTGAAACATAAATAGAAGATAGAAATCAAACTTCAAATAAAATCATTGGGTATTAGAATGAGAGAACTTAAAATATAGTTTTTGATACAAAATATGGTGTAAACTAAGCTCCATATATAAGGGAAGAGAATGTGCATACTGAGTTTTGCTCTATCTACTTGAGTCGATGTTTAGTTTCCAAACAAGTCACTTGAGAATTCTTCATTATTCTCTACTAGTTTAGATTGGGCACTTGAGTCACTACAACTTTTGTTTTCACCAAAAATTCTTCTCTCGAAACATACCTTACTCTTTAGTAACTCTCCGAGGGACACCTGTAATTAAAACTCTAATTTTCAACACTATTTCCACAAATATTTTAATAAAATCTATCAAATTCAAAGCACAATGGGATCTTAAAAGTGTACAAATAGTTGGGGCTAAGGACATTTAAAGCATGAGACACCATCATAGTAAGCCAACTACAACCACAAGATAATTGGATAATAGATTCATATTTAATTAGGACAAGTCAATCAAAATGATTCAATATAACATTTACTCATAAGTTTTTGATATATAAAAATAATGTCCTAGGTCATGGCAACGCAATAAAATTCCCACAATAAATACGTATGTCAAGCAAACAAGAAATTAAAGCCCATAAGCTTATTCCTCTAGTGTAACATCTAAAATTTTTTATTTTTAACTAATTGTGAAATAGAGGTTGTATTGAGGAAATTAATTGATGAATGGTATGACCTTAGGGATTTTCTACAAGAGATTTAGTTGAGAATTTATGTTGTTGAGGCTTCATTAGAGCATCAATTTGTAATCGAGGTTAATTATGTGCTTGTGGGTAAATAGGGTTCAAATTAGTTCTGGACTTCTATAATGAGGTGAAATAAGGTCCAAAATAGGTGTTGGGTCAGATTGGGCATAAATAGTGGGATTAAATTAAGTGAAGCATTCTTGTACTGTGCATCATAGCACACGTTACACACGCCACGGTACACAACACATATATGCTTTTGATCACCCAACTTGAAAATCAGACTAAAGAGGGAGAGAAAGCTAGGATTTGAATGAAATTAATGAGTTTTTCTAGGGTTTAGTGAAATACTTTCATTGTGCACGATTTTGGGCATTTAATAGCTAAGGTAAGCTCATTTAATCTTTTATCTACCCTTTTTTCTTCATTTTAAGAATTTTTTTTTCCTGTTGTATGAAGCTAGAGTTTTGATCTTTGAGCAACCCAACCCTTAAGTCCAAATCAAATGATTTTTTTGAGGTTAAACAAGTATGATTTAGGTTGTTTTGAGGTTATTTATGGTATTGATTGGTTAGAATCCAAAACCCTAGATTATTTAGGTGATTAAACAATGGTTTGGGTTATGTAAAAGTGAAATAAGTGTTCAAGAATTATAATGATGATAATTTCAAGTGAGTGCAAGGGTTTAAATGATTGTAACAACTTTAGGTTAACTAGGTTAATTAACCTAACCCCAGGATTATGGTGTGATTAGTGTGCTCACATTTTGATTAGTGTTAATTAGCACTTTATTAACTATAGTTAGTCTTGTA